TTGGGTTCAACAACATCCTTTCGACAAGAACAGAGCTTATGCCTTGGGCAACGATGGGCGTCATTTCAAGACAAAGGATCAAGGAAAGACCTGGAATGCTTTCACAATTGACGAATTTCCAGCGTTGCAGCACGCACCTCTTGTATTCCATGGTTGGGATTCGAGCAAAGTTATTTTCCAAAGCGAGGAATGCGTTGGGTCTTTCTGCATCGTGAGATCATACTATACGACGAATGACTTTGAAACGACTAAGCTATTGCGCGAGAGCGCTGCCGGATGCTCGTGGGCCGTTGGCCATCCAGATTTTGCAGATAATGTCCCATCTTTCGATCAACTTGTCGACCGAACGCTATGCGTTGCCCCAGGCTTGAAGGTGCCCTTTGGTCATGCCAACCGTCTGGTGTACTCCGACGATTACTTCAGCAGTAGTGCTGATGGCATAGAAGTGAAACTACACGCAGATCGGCCAATCTCTGGAGTCATCAGTACCGCTGCTGTCAAGAAGTTTGTCGTTGCTGCGGTTAAGTCCAAGGGAACCGACGAGCTTGCTTTGTACGTGACCACCGATACAATTACTTGGAGTCGGGCAGAGTTTGGCGGTCACAGATTAGAACAAGATGCCTACACCATGCTGGAAAGCACTAACTACAGCCTGCAGGTGGATGTTCTAACCAGCCCTTTCAGTGGCATGGGCGTGCTGTTTACCTCAAATTCAGACGGTACATTCTTTACTCGCAATATCGAGCACACCAATCGCAATGAAGCCGGAATTGTGGACTTCGAGAAAGTCGCTGGAATTCAGGGCATTGTATTGGTTAACACGGTCAAGAATCCTGAAAAGGTTGAATCCGGCTCCGAAAAGAAGATTATTAGCCAAATAAGCTTTGATGATGGAAGAACCTTCCAACCACTCAAAGTGGGCGACAAACATTTGCATCTACACTCGGTGACTACTTTTGCGAACATTGGCAGGGTATTCTCGAGTCCGGCACCAGGAGTAGTCATGGGTGTCGGCAACACAGGCGACAGCCTCAAGAAATACAATGATGGCGACCTGTTTGTTTCAGATGATGCAGGAGTAACTTGGCGGCATGCTCTTGACGGGCCTTATAAATACGAATTCGGTGACCAAGGTGCTGTGATAGTGGCGGTTAGTGATGCTGGGAAGGCGAAAAAGGTCAGGTTCTCTCTCGATCATGGCAAGGAGTGGGAATCAGTCGATCTAGAACACACGATTTACCCCACCATGGTCACAACGACTCCCGACTCTACCAGCCTAAAGTTTGTTCTTGTTGGGCAGGAGAATGGTGATGGCGACTATATCGTGTTTTCGATTGATTTTAAGGGCCTTCACGAACGGAAATGTGGTCAGGATGACTTCGAAAAGTGGCCGGCCAGATTGACTGAGAAAGGTGAACCTGATTGTTTGATGGGCCACAAACAATATTATCGGCGCAGGAAGGCCAACGCAAATTGTTTTGTGGACGAGGAATTCAAAGACCCTCAACCGATCCTAGAACCATGCAAATGTACGACCGAAGACTACGAGTGTGAACAGCGCAGCGAAGATGGGCAAAGCTGTAGGCCTGCTGAAATCCCAAGACCTCCAGATGGAAAATGCAAAAACCCCACCGATAAGTATTTTGGTCCATCAGGTTGGAGGCTCATTCCGGGAAACTCCTGCATCCGAGAAGGCGGCAAGAACATGGATGATCAGATTGAGTGGTCATGTGGGGACGTGGGAAGTTCGCCTGATAGCAATGGTAAGATCAGCCATACGAAACAGTTCTTCGATGCGAAGCAATTCAGCGCATATTATTACTTGGAGCGCCAGTCCAGCAACTCAGGGACTGACGAAACTGTCATCATGTTGACAAGTGCACACGACCTCTATCTCTCGCATGACCACGGTAAAACGTGGCAGCAGTCATTGCAAGGGAAGAAAATCACCAGAGTTGCACCTCATCCATATAGCAGCGACACAGCCTTTCTCTTGACTGACGGGAAGGAGGCATTCTGGACGGTTGATCGTGCTCAGACATTCAAACACTTCGAGGCGCCGATTCCGCCTACTCATGACCGTGTCCCAACAATCTCCTTTCACCCACAGTATAAAGACTGGCTTATATGGACCGGTGCTGTAGATTGTGAGTCTGGCGACTGCCATTCCAATGCCCATATCAGCCAGAATCGTGGCGAAAACTGGAAACTTCTTCTCCGCTACGTTCAGAAATGCGAGTTCGAGAGTCGAGAGACGCGTCCCGACAGCAACAACTTGATTTTCTGTGAGCAGTTCGAAAGTGAAAATCGAAACAACCGATTGCAACTCTTATCTAGCGAAAATGAGTTTGCTGATCGACGTGTTCATTTCGACGATGTTATCAACTATGCTACAATGTCCGAGTACATTGTGGTAGCATCTCGAAACCCGGAAAAGCCGGAATCGCTGACTGCGAGCAGCAGCGTTGATGGCCGGACCTTTGCAGAAGCACACTTTCCTCCAAACCTTCATGTTCCTATCCAGACAGCCTATACTGTCCTCGAAAGCTCTACTCATGCTGTTTTCTTGCATGTGACTGTGAACAATGCCGAAGGAGCCGAGTACGGCTCCATCATAAAAAGTAATAGTAACGGGACCTCTTACGTGCTCAGCCTAGGCGCAGTGAGTCGGGACCATCGCGGCTATGTTGATTTCGAGAAAATCCAGGGACTTGAAGGTGTTGCTATTGCGAATGTTGTCAGCAATGTGGACAGGCTTTCTTCCGGCGAATCGAAGAAGCTGAGAACCATGATCACTCACAATGACGGGGGCCGGTGGATGTTACTCCCCCCACCCAAAGATGCCGATGGCCAAAAATTTGGTTGTGCCGTGGAAGAAGGCAAAGGAATTCCGGATTGCTCGCTCCACCTCCATGGCTACACAGAGCGCAGGGATGAAAGAGACACGTATTCGTCCGGCTCAGCAATTGGCCTGATGATCGGTATAGGTAATGTGGGCGATCATTTGGCTAGCGATGGCGAGCCAGATACATTCGTCACACGCGATGCTGGCTTCACTTGGAAGTTTCTGAAGCAAGGCCGATATCTTTGGGAATTTGGTGACTCCGGTTCTGTTATCGTCATTGTGCGCGAGTCAATACCGACTAAGGTGCTTTACTACAGTACGGACGAAGGTGACACTTGGGAAGAGTACCAGTTTTCGGATGTTCCAATGCAGATCGAAGACATCTCGACTGTCCCCTCTGATACTTCCAAAAACTTCCTTCTTTGGGGTAAAGATGCGGAGTCGGAGAATCGAGATAAACTCGCGACTGTCAATATTGACTTCACTAAACTCCGGGCCGCCTCATGCAACTTGGACGAAGATAGTGGAGCCAGCGACGATTACTACATTTGGGAGCCAAGTCACCCTTTTGAGGACAATAACTGCCTGTTTGGTCATGTTGAACAATATCATCGCAAGAAACCTACTGCTCAATGTTGGAATGATTGGCGTGAGCCCCACATTCACAGCATAGGGAGGAACTGCAGCTGTACCAAATCCGACTTTGAATGGTAAGACTTACCAATTACCTTGCTTGAATCAATGGGAGCTCGGAAGCAACCAATCGATCGCTAACACCGAATAGTGATTATAACTACGAACCTTTGAGTGATGGTAGCTGCGGGCTCGTCAAGGGATTGTCTCCACCGGATGCGATGGCTGTATGTAAGGTGGATCCCGATCGTGTTGAATACTGGGAGCCTACAGGATACCGGCGCCTACCCCAAACGACTTGCCAAGGGGGATTGGAATTAGACCATCTGGTCTCAAAGCCCTGCCCAAACAAAACGGATGAATATCAACGTAGACACGGCATCGGCGGAGTTGGACTGTTCTTTGCCATTGTGATACCCATCGCTGTGGCCGGTGCCGTTGGATACTATGTCTATACCAGATGGGACGGCAAATTCGGTCAGATTCGCCTTGGAGAGAATGTTAGCACCTCTTCTGGTTTGCTGTCGCGAGACTCGCTGCTCATGACCATTCCCGTCACTATGATCGCGGGCGCGGTGGCTGTTGCTAAAGCCTTGCCGCTTTTAGCTACCAGCTCATGGCGAAGTGCAAGCGGTTTCTTGCGTCTCAGGCGCAGTGGAGGGTATACACGACCCTACTCGTCTCGGGGTGCTTTTGCAGCCCGGCGAGGCGATTACACTAACGTTGTCGATGATGAGGATGAGCTTCTTGGGGTGGAAGAAGCCGACATTGACGAGGAAGATGAGCTCTAGTGGCAGGGCTCATCTGCGCTCTCTTCGACAAACTTGGTGGCCTTTTTATGGTTTCATGTTACAATACGAATATGTAGGAAGGGGCCCTGGTCGCCTTCCTTCCGTACTTGTCACTCATGCTAGGTCGACTTGACTATCTTTGCTCATCTTTAAAATAGTCTTTGAACGATAGAATCCCATTTGGGCAATAGCCCGAATCCTTTTTTAAAAGGTTTTTGTATGGTGTCATTAATCCATTGATCGTAAGTGCTGTTTATGAAGGTCATAGCCTCTAACATACTTTGTGTACCACTAACCTGACGTTGCTATGTTTTGTGGATCTTTCTGGGACATGTCATGCTAGAAGTGTAAGGTATTAACCAGGTTGATGTATGCCAGTCGAGGTGATACATCAGAAAATGTTTCCAAGGAGATGAGGTCTTTACGACTATGAGGCAAGAATGCCACTGTGGTCCTGGATCCCAGTACACTAGCCACTAGCCCGACGTCTAACAAGGCGCGCTACTCGACTTACAAACAAAGCCCTGAATTGACAGGGCCGTTCTGCTCAGCAATCATATATGGCCACTTTGCGAGTTTTAAAAATAACATTACCCTGGAATTGAAGCCAATCTAGGGAGGAGAAGTGCATCTTATGAACCTAGTGAGACTGCCAGGTCTGCATTTATGGGAGACGCGTTCCATACTATCGCGTCGGAGCCGGAAATGAGAGGGACCTTAAACGCAGGGGCCTAAGATTGTTTCGTGGCTCCAGGCAAATCGTCCGGGCCGAATGAGTCCGGCAGAAGCTGCAAATCAGAAATATGTCAGTACACCTTTTCTCAAGGATATATTGGAAAAAAAAGCGTGGTGACTGATTAGATGGACAACAATGTAACACTACGTGTAATTACCTCTCCAATAGTTTTCATAGTAAAGTTTCCTTGCCCATCATACATAAAGATGGGCAATGATGAGGTGCAAAATTCACGTATGCTATTGTCCGCTTGTTAGCCATCGCTTTAGTGAAACAGTGCGGTAAGTACAGGTACCAAGCAAGAAAGTCATGTCGTTCATGTGTGTAGAAACTGAAAAGAAAAAACTTTAAGCACAGAATTAACTTACAACTGTCTGCACATGCCGCAAGGTGATGCTGCTGGCTCAATGTCTGTTGCAACAGCAATGGCTTTGAAGCCTCGATGCCCAGCTACCTGCAGATCAGTCCAATACGTCAGCCATGCCTTCAAATTGGACAGGAAGTCTCAAAGCGTCGTGCCGCCTAAAAGCCACACGGCAAAACGAGGACAAAAATGAGCTGGCCAGCCTGAGTAAATAGCCGAGAAAATAGTGATTTGTAGAACGAGCCCTACGCTGGCAGCGGCCTGCAGCAACTTGCAGCAAGGAAATTGAAGCATAGAAGAAGGTAACTCACAACCGCAGTCCCCAATGCAACCCTTTCTGCACAGGTCCCAACAGGATAGGCAGCGTTTTCTACGTTGGCACCGTGAAAATACTCGCCTGTTTGCGTCAAAACACAGGCTCCAACCCGGAACTTTGAATAAGGGCCTATCAGAGCTTTTTAGTAATCAAACGGATGGCTTGAGAGGTCATACATATCCCAAGGTAACGAGGTGCATGAACATCAGAAATCTTAGAACGAGCATTCAATGTTGCGTGCTAAAAGAAGGTTGAGGGGTTTAGGAAACAGCACATATCTGGGACTTACAGTACGCAACGTCCTTGGCAGAAATAGCTTTGGTGGAGAGAGTCTCCAGCTCTTGGGCCGAAAGATGGTCAGCAGACGATGCCATATTTAAATCCATGTTCGGATGGATTGTCGGATGTATGTTGGGCAACGATTCAGCAAGAGAGTAATCGTTCAGGTTCTGGTGGTAAACAAGACAGAGATGAGGCGAGCAGAGATAACCAACTTAACGCTGAATGTGGGAGAGGACCGAGGGTCACACGTCATGCTCTTTTTCTAGTCTTGCAGCCCCTCTCCGAAAATTTGCGCTATCGCGGATCAACCAATAACCCATTGAGAACCATAACAGCAACCTTTCCCAGCTCATCGACCAATCTACTAAATGTAATGTATAATCAGGGTCTGGTAAAGACACATCTATCATCATGAAATTCTACTTTCGGCAGCCCAGAGAGAGCAAGTCTTGATACCAAGAAATAATGGATCTAACAGACTTTCCTTCTTCTTCTTCTTCTTCTTCTTCTTCTTCTTCTTCCTCCTCCTCTATCAATGCTAGATTGAGTTTTCTTTTACGGAAAAAAAAGGGGGGGGGGGGATTCGAAGAGAACGAAACAAGGGAAGATAAGAGTGAAGAAAGCAAAGAGAAGAAAGGAATCAAAAATAACTTAAAAAAAAGAAGAGGTCTAGATCTAGAACATGAACAGAGGTATCATACAACAATGCCAGAAAAGCTCAAGAAATCGCAAGAGTAACTCGAAAGAGAAATGGTAGAATGGTAGGAGGACAAGGAGATTATAGAGTGACGACACGCTCAGCCAAAATGGCTTCGTAAGCCTTCATATATCGTAAAGATAAAGGCTGAGCTGGGAGCAGACCGGGCGCAAGTGATACCGCAGCCTCGATATAATCCCTTCACTCCCTGTTGTGTCCACAAGGCTCGGGCAACCCCCCAGAATGTTTGTCTTTCACCGTTGTGCGCCAAGCGTGTGATGTCCTCGGTTTGCATGCGTGACTTGATCGTATCAGCAGGATAGAACAGGAAATTGTAACTGACACCAGCTGCTGCACCGGCAAGCATCTGCTGAGGTATGGGGACGCGATCGGACTCAAGTGCGGCATCATCAGCCTGCTGAGAGGCTGCGCGGGATGAGCGGAAGAGCGCCATAACTCCTTCGTAGCTACCGAACCAAGCGGCGCCACCGCCGGTTTCGCGAATAAATGTCCCTAATTGTCCACGCCAGAAACCCATAATACCCTCGCGGCGGAACACAGATACAATGAGAGCCAGAGGCCCCGGCGCTTTGGCGCTGGGACCTGCCAGAGGTACTTGCATCTTGCATTTGATCAGCTCCACCGGGGTAAGTGCAAGCGAGGTTATTGACCCAGACGCAGCACCGCAGAGAACCAACGCTGGGAAGGGTAGCGCATCTGCCGGGGCGTAAAACGTGGCGCGAAGTATATCCTGGACGAGGCGGTAGCTGAAGAACAAGCAGCTGTTTTCTACAGCCGCCCCGACCATAGGGGCGCTGATCCCGCGGTAGAGCCCACGCACACCATCGGCTTGGAACGACTGGCGGAAGCAATCCAGGGGACCGGTGTATTTTAGAGGAAGATGATCCGGCTGGGACTGGAGTCGTACTTTGACGGTATCAAAAGGGTATTCGATTACCTTCCCTACCATTCCCGCAGTCTGACGGAGCGTCAGTGGTTTCCAGTTCAGCACTGAGCGATACAGCGAGGCGACTCACAGATCCGAACAGAATATCTTTGAAAGCTTGGAAGCCCTGGTTGGGCGGGAGTGAAGGGAGTTCCATCGACATCTCATTCTTTAGTGCTATCGCATTCTCTGCAGCCGCCATAAGGGAAGAGATAGGCAAGAATTGGACAGGAGATGAGGTAGGGTAGGCAGCAAGAACAGAACAGGAAGTTAGGCTATTAAGAGAACATGGTAGGTATCGAAAGTGGTTCGGTCAAGAGGGCCAAGCGAGTATTTAAAGAGGACCTGATCCAAAGAGGGGCGGTGTGTCAGGGAGGGGTGGTGCCAGTAAGATGCCCGAACCATGCGCGATAAATTCAGGACAGAGCGAGCATCGCTTGAAAAGCTGGAAGCAGATGAGCCCAAAGGCCGAGAGGTCACATATAGTGGGGGGCCAAAGAGGAAGACGGTTGGTTGCGATGTTTCAACTAACTTGCCGGCCAAGTGATTCTTAGGAAACGAGGTGGGACAAATCCCTCATTCTCGGAGCCACAAGTGCCAGACGCGGGTTCGGATGCTCACTTCCACCGAGATCCGGTTATCTGATCGGTCTAAGATAACTTTTTCCTCAAAATCAGACAACCGGAAGAATAAGAGGGAGAGGCAGCGGAGAACTGCTAATAATACATATCACTCTTCTTCCCCATCCTCAGCATTCACCTCGCTTTGGTGGCAGCTTTAATTCCCATTCCCACCATCCTCACCTGGTCTGACCATGTCGTCCTCCTCGGCTTCAGTCCCTCCGTCCGTGAAGGGCATGCGGAAGAATGGTATTAATTTGGTTTCCCCACTTTTTACCTGTTTTTCCTCTTTTTTTTCTTTTTTTCTCCCCCCCTCTTACATTTTGTTTCTCCCCCTCCCACTCCCTGAAAACTGACTGGAGCTAATGAGTTTTACTTCTCGGACCCGCAGGAAAAAACTGGCACGACTCCAAGAAGCCCTTCCGCCCTACGGCGGGTATGACCTCCTATGCGAAGCGCCTGGAAACCCGCAAACACCAAGAAGCCGTCAAAGAACACGAAAGGGAACTTAAGGAAGAGAAGGAGGCTGAGCGGAAGGTAGGGTAGACTTGCAACTCATTCTACCCCTAGGCAGCGTAGGTGGACTGACAACACAACCAGGCCCATATCCAGCGAATTAAGGATCGCAGAGCCGCCAAGGAAGAGAAAGAACGCTATGAAAAGATGGCCGAGAAGATGCATCGTAAACGTGTTGAGCGCTTGAAGCGCCGTGAAAAGCGCAACAAACTGTTGAATTCTTGATGCTGCCTAGAGCTTGATCGACCCCTGGACAGGTCAGTGTATGCTGTCGCGGTTGAACTGTTTCCTGCTGCTTGTTTGCTGCACTGGATGCATGGCAGTTACCGACCAGCTTTTTGAAAATTGCCTTTTCTTCCTATTCATTCACGCAGAAAACGCCTTCCCCCTATTTGCGCTGAGCCTTCGGAAAGATAATGTGGCGACAGGCGGCCTCTTTTCACACATCCTTCGATTTTCTGTCGGGACAAAAATGGATCATGGCGACCATGGAGTTGGGGGTTCTGGATACTGGATTTATAATTATATTCATACGGAAGCAAGAAACATCTTCACATAGAATCGTCCAAGACTTCATGCTATACCAAGGTAGTTGTAAAGTCACATAGGCTCGGAGACGGAGTCGGGCGTTTCAAGACATGCCGATCGTGCTGTATGTACTGTACCAGTAAGGAGTACGTAGTCTTTAAGAATCCAGGGGAGGGTATCGAACGGTCAGCGCTTGGCGCCTGATGTCGAGTCCGCCATCTCAATCAAATGACTTTGACCAGCAGCAGAGCCGATGGGCATTGAAACAGTTTATTCTTCTCCCTTGGTGCATCAAACTATCAGCTCTACGGACCAAAGGGACTTGCTGAGTCCGAATGGAGGCCTCCATGAGCTTGTCCTTGCCTGACATGGTATCTTCTACGACTCCCGAGCGCTCCGTCCCTCATCCATCGACCACCCATGGTTTTGGCGTGGTTGTCACCCAGAGACCGCCTAGTGCTTCACTGGACAAGCAGCTGGCCAGCACAAGCGATGATCAGGCCCTTGGCATCACCGACAGCCATGGTCATGAAGATAATCTGCAATCTGCCAACATCGTCAGCCTGTCCGAAGAGAAACAGCACCGTCATCTGTCCAAATCACGCCACCTTCACAAGCATAAGCATAACAAATCTGGCGACGGTCGCTTTTCACGGAAAAAGATTCAGTCTACGACATCTACCACTGCCAGGGCCCTGCTGCCGACGTGGTCCGGGATGAAAGACAAAGACAACGATGAAGAGAATGGTCTCCTCCGTCCGATGACACGTCAAACGACACGGTCGCGCTGGGGATCGGAGTCTACCACGGGATTGACTGACGGAAGCCGGAGGGAGAGCATACTTGAGGGAATTGATACAAATACAAAGCTTGGCCCGGTCGCACGTCAAGAAATCCGGTCGTCAGAGGACCTGGAGCAAGTGAAAAGCAGACGGAAATACGGCGAGGAGTAAGTTTCGAACGCCATACTGTGAACCGGGCTTGGTATGACTGACTGCACGCCAGGTATTTGAGGTCCGCTTTGTCACTTATCGGAACATTGGCTACAGACATCACGCGCCGTCTGGATTACACGTATTATAACCTTCTGGAGAAGGTGGCAGCCCTGAATGCTACGGTATCGTCTTTCCAGGAACTACTGAACTCTACATCAAGTCTCTTTGCCGATTTCCAGCGAGAAACGTCGAGTCTCGACCAAGAGATCCGAAAACAGATTGGAGAGCTTCAAGAATTCCAGCCACAGCTCAGAAGGATAGAGGCTTTGGAGGATCGCATGAAGACAGGGCGGACGAAAGCTCAGGAACTCAACGATCGACTTGAGAACATGCGGAATGAGATCGATCACTGGGAGAAGAAAGAGATGGAATGGCAAGACCGCGTGAATCGAAGGCTCCGTATGTTCTGGGCCTTTGCGGCAGCGGGTGTACTTGCAGTGCTTCTGGCCATTGCCACACAAAACAGGAGCATAATACAATCCTCGGCCATTTCCAACAACATGCGTGCAGGCACAGCAACGTTGGATTATAGTGTATCACTTCGGGACGAGGACAATCACGAATCTCAAGGAGGAAACACTCCCACGTGGATCAAGCAGCCAACTTAGACCATCCTTTATCAGGGATCCGGTATTTTCGAAGCCTAGTGGTGACGAGCCTCTGAAATTTTTTGTTTCTGAATAAGCTATAAGTACGGCGTCCTGTCTCTGTACTCTCGGCATGAAGGTCAAGGTCGGCCCCGACTCCATTGCATCTTTTGCGTGTGATACCCAATTGCATCTAAGCATCCGATTTAGTACATTAAGCGTTTAGTCTGCCGTTATATGATAGGTCATCGAAAGACATTGAATCAGCTGCTCGACTTCTTTTTCTTGTCTTCAATAAGCTCAATGTTGACCTCAGGGATTTCCTTGGCATAAAATTCCAACAACCATTCTTTCACATCTTCACTGACATCACCCTGAACTGTAATCTCCTCGGTGCCTCCAGCAGAGCGAGTCATGGAGGAACCAGTCGCAAATTTCTTACCAAGCTCTTTGGCGAGCTTCTTGTTCTCCAGTCCGTATATGTCCAAGCCCGTGATGACAGTGACATGTTTGCGCTTGTTTCGTTCAACGCGTTTGATCTGTACCTTGGAAGCGGCCTTTCGCTCTGCGTCTCGTGCCTCTGCGGCGGCAGCCTTTGCCTCCTTCTTAGCCGCATCCTTAGCAGCACGCTCCTGGGCAGACACCGAAAGTGAAGATAGCTTGGAAGTCAGAGCCTCTGCAGTCCCGTATCAGAGTCAGCTGCGGGAGTTCTAAGACCTGCTACAATGATCTGAACAGAGCGGACGAACCTTCGGAATAGAGCTGCTGATACGCGTCCGGGTGCGTATCTTTCAGCCAGTCTTCGCACTTTTTCGCTGTTCCGCCGAATTCGCAATACTGGAGATCCACGAGTCAATCACTTATCTTCGGAGAAGTCGTTCGATTCCAAATATTGCCGATCATAACGTGTTCTGGGCAAAAAGGCTGGAATGAGGGCCATACTTCTACAGGCAGTGTACAGACTGTACATGTAAAATATAGATTGCGTTAGCCTTGTCAGTCTAAGGGTCAAAAATAGCGAGAAATGAATTTTCTCCTATCGCAGAAGCTCAAGTTCGAGATGGGCATTCACTCACCTCCACAGTACAGGACGTGCTTTGCCGGATATTCCACCGGACGAGGTTGCTCGACGTCCGCCATTTTCCGACCCAATAGCCTTCTTGTATATGGTTTCTGGAATGAGGGCCGATTAAGAAAGATAGTGATTGTTTCCCAGGACACTGGAATTCGTCGAATTCGGAAGTCCTGTTATCACCGACTGCACTTTAGTTTATCGAGATGGCGCGGGGTCGGTACTGCAGCCACCCCACTAACTGCTTCGGGAAGCGCAGCAATAATGATCACGTGAGTATACTCACTGATTCAATGCGCAGGCATAATCGGTTGGACGGGAATCATCAAAGATTTACAGGAGACAGAGAAATTTATGATGAGGCGATGGTGGTTCCGGTTGAAGAATATGACCCACGCAAGTTCGAGGGTAACGAGCTAGGAGAACAATCATGGAAGAACTAAATGTGTAACGTGACGATGGCACAAACACGTAGTGAGGTTTCAATCCAATTCGAGTTCATACTCGAGGTTTTAGGTATGCATACTTGATAGAAACCGAGCTTACTCTCTTTTCCGCCTGATAACCTCTCTGTGTTACACGAAGCCCGATGATTTAGAAGAGAGAAGTCGACTATCCGCTTCTGACATCCGCAGCTCTAACGGGATCGTTGCTGAGAGAGTCTTCGAAGAGCCCTCAATTCAATAGTCATCAAGCAGAAGAGCCAGTAGGGAGATGAAAGTGGTGCCCAGTGGCAATGAGTGCTGCCTCAAGTGGAAAAGTGAAGCTACCACCTCAGACACTAACAGGCACAATACCAATTTCAGGGAATCCTACCGAGTTGACCAGAGCAACGCTACGCTCCCTGTGAATGATAGACTGATCGTCAAACGGAATGACAAGGAGATCAATCCTTGACCCATAGTACCCCCAAGGCCTATTCGGGCAAAGTGGCCGGAGTTCGTTTGTCAATATCGCAAGTGGCTGTCGGGATTACCTCATGGGAGTCAACAGCTGGTTCCTTGTCTCCAGCTAGAGGTATACTGAAATTGGTCTCGCCCAGAAACCAGCCTTCTTCTCAGGGGAGACTCGCTTTGGTAGGGCTAAGTTCGCAGATCATGATACACACGACTTTCGAAGAATATTGCTTGGGAAAGGGCAGCTTCCGCGGACAAGGGGCCCGCGCTTTCCAATCGAAACAAGCAAATCGGTAACGTGGGCTCAGTTGAGTGACATAGGTTTCACAGCCTATAATGTTAGTAGCCATCAAGAGATGGGTGCAATTTTCTAATTGTGAAACAGATTTCCATACAGCATATAGAGAGATCAGAACTGGCCCGGTCTTGATTCATAACATGTAATCTGGATGCCTGTGCTTTTGAATCTTATTCCTTTCATTCGGATTCATTCTTTTTCTTTTCTGCTCTTGGACCTCAAGCAAATATGTCTCTTCTCACCCCTTGTATAAAGCATGCGCGAGATTAGTACGCTTTCATCTGCCTCTGATTCATGATGCGAATGGAAGCTTCAAGCTTTGCGAATCAGCGCGACTTTGTTTGTGGTGAAAAGACAAGAGCCCCTCTCATCGGACGAGGGAAGTAACTACAGGACATTCCGCGTCAGATTTTGCCCCTCAAGAGACACCAGTCAAGCGCAGCAAATGGCCCTGGCTTGTTTTAGCAAGGAGATTTGAGGGAGGAGAAGTCCTGCCGCCAGTCAACCTCGAGACACGTCATTCACAGCCCCTAGGGAACCCGGGCTTTTCGATGAATTGTCTAATTATAGAGGAATACAAGTACGTTGCCTATTCCAAACCACGATTTTGTCATCAATCGAGATATCTATTATCCTTAGCAAGATTTCTGATAACAGACATACATTCCGAAGGAGAAACAACTCAATTGACCGGTGGGTCGAGTTCGTATTGAGGCCATTGGTGCTTGCACGGGGTGTTTCGTTGCACTCGAGCTGCAACCGGATCGGGATTCTGTTCATGGTGCTCTACGGAGTGGAAAAAGACCCATTACATGGAAACCATAAGCTGACAACCTTGGAATGGGAAGCAAAGAGGATCCCAGTTGCATATACTGTAAGTAGTCAATTGCCTTGCGGACCGGGCACCGGCTTCTGGCTTTCTTATCATGGAAGCTGATTGACCAAAGAGAAGCGTAGGATAGACCCTCGTGGGAATGATTGGATTATTGGAAGGTCCTTGCACTTTTCCCAACCTTGAAAAGTCTCCACTGTCCCCGCCAGCCGTTACTGACGTGCATCGAGCCGCCCGATGGATCTTGAAAACTATACCATACTTGACCCTCAGGTGCTCGCTCCCCTTTTTCTTTGTTGGTGATTCGGAGTAGGTTTCACATCAAGACCCTTCTGAGGTTGTATTTACCCCCGAGGTTGAGGGATTATTGCGGACGAATCAGAATTGACTCAGCTTGTGGTGCTTGATTAGGTAGTATCAATGCGCACCGTTTTATATGAGTACTGTACTCCCAAGAGGTTTGAAATCCCTGTTGTCACCAATCGTTGACTGACTGCTCTTTTTCATTTTTTTGTGCATCATATTGCAGATGTTACCTAATTCAGGTACAGGGCTGTACATATACTTCGTTCAGAAAGTGGATGAGTCTAGATTGATCCTGTTGAGGGTGGTTCCAGTTGCCAATGCGCTAAGACCGTTGAATAGATTAAGATGCAGCCAAGGTACAACTTGCAAGATGCAATCACCATTGATACATTCGGAAGGGGCAAAAGAGCGGGAAGAAGAGGAGAGCTCGTCTGTATCTTTGGTTAGTAGTATTGTACTACGAGCAGTAGACTATCTAGACCACTCGAGTACTATGGATGAAGCACGGAGTACTGCACAGCACCTATCGCTCGTTCTATTCCGGTCCGAATAGCTCCGATCGACCGCGGAGGATTTCGGACTGTCAGTCTTAGTATAAATACCATGCACTTGTACCTATCACTAGCTCGTTGGCAGTAGCCCTGCGGGCAAAACATCCGTGCCATGCTCGGGACATCATCCACTAGGTACGGACGTACTATGTAGTTATTGCACCGTACAACAATTATGCAAGGGTGACCTATCGAGGCCCCAAGAAACATTCCGAATCTTGTCCGAAGAATATCCCTCTTTCTCTCTCTCTCTCTCTCTCTCTCTCTGTGCGTGTTTGTATTTACCTCGTGTGTAGAGGGGGAAAAGGTACAGTACATACATAAAAGACTAAATGAGGTAGGTCCAATCCGACTGAAGTACCCATACGTACCAAACTTGAGGCACCCCGCCTTTCTGGGAGATCAACCAATTCGGAAGACGTACTGTACTGTACAGTACTGTACATAGGTCATGGATGAATGCCTACCTAACGTAATAGTAGTCCTGATTCCGAACGGATGAACCAACCTGAGTTTGGTTGCACTCATGATGTTGAAAGGAAGTTCAAAGCCGAAGAATTCCATCCTTCCCTGGGCCTGAATGATGCGATCATTTAGACTGACTTTTGTGAATTTGGGAAGTTGATTGAGAATTACTTTACTGTGTTTACTGTGCTGTATAATAACTACTTAACTCACAAATACCTCTCTGTGGTTACAGCGGTGAAGCACTCTTTAGTACTCCGTATAGTAGTAAGAGGTAACTAAAGTTTGTTAAGCACCCAGCACTCGAAGTACAGGTAGTAAGTAGTACTGTCCCTCAGGGCTCTCTGTCTAGACCCTCCCTGAAGCATCTAAAATCAATGAGTCAGCGACAGTTTCCCCTCTTTCCGCTCTAGAAGAGTCTCCGGAGTCTCTCCACCTCCACCCCCCTCCCCCCAAA